GAAAAGCTGCAAGTATCCCTGCAGCTAAATGTGCTGACTTCCAGGAGCCTGAAAACGTCTTTCCTTCAACTCCGCATTTTGAACTGTGTAGATGTGTACATTATCATTTATACCTTGGAGACTTTATAGAGTTATACTTCTGGTTCTTCCTGGGTGACTGGGTCACAGTTAATTTCTGAGTCTTATTTTTCCCACCTGCCAAATGGGGGATATAAATCATAACACTGGGCCCAGGAAGTCTAGAGAACATGAATGGGAAAGTCCGCAGAGCTTTGCCTGGCATAGGAGAGACATAGGTGAATTTTGAGTCATGTGTCATATCCTTGCTTTCCACACGGTAATCTAAATTGAGTACTGTAACAAAATCTAAGTTCAGTTGGACATGGTGGTGCAAGCCTATAGTCCCAGCACTGGGGAAGCTGAGGCAGGAGGATCACTAGGAGGCTGAGACCAGTCTGGGCTACAAAGTAAGTTTAAGGCCAACTCGAATTGCTGAATTGCATAGTGAAACATTGTCTCAAAAAGACAAAAAAAATTAAAAAAAAAAAAATCTGAGGGCCAGCCAAATAGCTTAGCAGATTAAAGGTGCAGGGGCCGGGGTCCAGTCCCCAGGACTGTCATGCCCCCCCCCACCAAGAGTGCACTGAGGCTGCTTCCACAAAGCTGTCAGCCTCAGGTTGCTGTAGTTCGATTCCCACAACACTCCAGCCAGCCAAACCACGCCTGAGGGCATTCAGAGAAAAAAAAAAGAGTGCACCGAGATGGCAATTGAGACTGGGCGTAGTGGCACACACCTGTAATCTCAGCTCTTGGGAGGCTGTAAACAGGTGGATCACTACGAGTTCGATCTACGCAGCAAGACCCTGACCACCCTATAGACCCTTCCCTAAAAATACAAAAACAAAAGTTCATATGACGAGATTTTCTAGAAGGGGGCCATAAAAGTCTCAGAACTTGGATGTTGTTCTTGATTTTACTTTACTTTTTTTTTTTTTTTTTTTTTTTTTTGTGGTGGTGATGGGACCAGGGGTTGCACCTAGGGTCTTGTGTGTCTGGCAGCTGCTCTCTGCTCTACCACTATGCCACATGCTTAGCTCTATTTTTTAAAAATTTTATTGCTACATTTTTTTTTATTTCTACATTTTAGATACACAAAATGATAGCATGCATCATAGAGAATTTGTATCTGTACATGACATACCTTGCTGCTGCTTTTCCGCCATTCCTCTCCCCTCCCTTCAAGCCCTCTTCCTCTACTTATTTACAAAGGCTTTGTTTCCATTTTTCCCTTTTGTTCCTTTTTGTCCCTTCTTTCCCCCTCCCTCCTCCCTTGTTCCCCTTCTCATTTGAACATTTTCTCCCTATTTCCCAGTATCTATTATACATTTTGGTCCTTATTTACATTTTTTATTTCTTATACGCAAGAAATAATATGGTACTTAAAACATTAGGTGTCCAGTTATTTCACTTGAGTATGGTCCCCTTGATTCTTTTAATGTCTACCTGTATGAAGCTTTAAAACAGAAGACATTAACTTGCAGACATTTCAGAGGAGAGGGGCAACTGTCTCCTGTCCCCAGGGATGGCTGTCCTATCCTACTGAACCTTGTGTGTAGGGTGCAGACCTCCGTGGATCCCCAGAGAGCGATCAGTAAGGGAGCTCTTGGTCCTGGGGGCCTCTGTGATGGATGCTTTCAGGAATGTGTGTTTCCTGGGTGAAGGGTGATTTGTGCCTTCTGAATCATAACAGGGATAGACGTGGGAAACTAACCTTTTCATGTGATGGCCTCCTCCAAACCCAGTTGTCATTTTTTCGTTAGCTGGGTATTTAGGGAAATATGTGCGTGAGGGATGATTTCATGCTTCATTTCAACTGTTTCCCCTTGGGCGAGGCTACTGGCTAGAGCTTGTTGGCAGAAGGAGAGGAAAGTAGAGAGATACATGATCCCTGAAAATTCAAGAGCATGGGCTCATCTCATCCACCACAGCTGGTCTTTAACATCTTAGATCTTACTGATTTTCTGCAGTCTTTTCTCCTTCATAGATGCATAGGGACAGTTTGGATTTGCCTTTTCCTACCTGTACCAGCCACTTCCCTAATTCTTTTTGTCACTTCCTGTTGGGAAAATATACTATAGGGTCTTATGAGCTAGTTAGTTATCAAAAATAAATGGCCTTTCCCCTTAGTTTTTTTTTTTTTTTTTTTTGCAGAACCGGGGATTGGACTCAGGTCCTTGCACTTGCCAGGCAAGCACTTATTCTACTGAGCCATCTCCCCAGCCCCTCCCTTAGTCTTTGGAACTAAAAAAAAAGTAAGATTTTACCTTATTATTGTGCTCATTTAGTCCAACTATAAATGAATTGTGTGATGGTAGAGCACATGCCTGTAATCCCAGCACTCTGGAGGCTGTGGCAGGAGGGTTATGAGTTCATATACAGTCTGAACTTAATAGTGAGATGCTGTTTTAAAAAAAAAAAAAGACAAATGTACATATACAGAATCTGGGTGTAGTAGCACATGCCTATAATCCCAGCACTCTATAGAGGGTGAAGCAGGAAGATCACCATGAATTCCAGGCCAGCCTTGGACTACACAGTGAGATAAAGGCCAGCATGAGCCACATAGTGGGACTGTCTCAAAAACAAACAAAAAATGGGTGTTCTCAATGGTCTTCATGTAGGGTCCAGCAAGTTCTTGGAGGTAGTGACCTGACAACCTTTCTACAGTGGGTCTCGTTGGTCTGTAGTTGTGTTAAGTCTGAGCCAGTCTTCATAAGCACTAGCAGTGGTCTCGAACATACATATTTTTAGCTAGTGTGTAGGGTTGTCTGGGCACTTAAGATTTATTTCTGTTAGATATAGGTACATTTAGGCTAAATGGGATTTGACAGATCCTGTACATCTTATGAAATCCTTGAACTTTAAGACCAGTTTATTCTTACCATTACTAACTTTCTAAAAAGTTCTCCAGAAAGTTTTTCATTTTAAGTATATTTTTCTTATTCGTTATAAGAGGCAAAGATGTGTAGCCTGACTTGTTAAAAGAAAATTTTGTATTTTTAATAGAATATTCATCATGCTGGTTAAAAAAAATTGGAGTTGGGCTATTTGGTCCTCAATAATTAGTAATTTTCCTTGTGTTCCTCAACAAATTTGTTAAAAGTCTTCTCTAGGTCAAGGAAAACTTGGGGGTAATTTATGTCCAATTTCAGTACCTGGACAGTTTTTGGAAGCATATGTGTATTCTTCTCTGAGAAGTAAAGAATGTAAGCAGCTTCTAAGTAGCTTTAATATTTCTGTATAGAAATGTTTATCACTGTAACATTGTAGAATTTTAATATAGTACTTAGTTTTTTATTAAGCCTTTTGACAAGTAGATTTTTAACATGGCTGCTCAGGGATTAAATCAGATGGAAAACCCATTCTGATTCCACATATGACTACAGTGAAATAAGTGGTTATTTTATTGAGCTTTAGGGGTTAGTACACTCTAAACTTATTTAAAGGTTTTAGATGTTTAACAATAATATTGCAATACAATCTTAAGCTCTTCTTTTTCAATTAATAAAATCTCTAATGATGTGATACCTCTTTTCCCACCTATAAAATCTGTATCTGTGTGAATCACTAGCTCCCATGAGCAGCTTTGAACAGGTACACTCCAAGCAACTCCACATGCCTCCCCAGGGTGTTTGTCTTCAGTGCCAGTAATTGCTGAGTGTGAGACACTCATTTCATTGACCCTCATTTCATTGCAGAGGGAAGGAGTGACCCTCATTTCATTGCAGAGGGAAGGGCTGTGAACACCACCAGGGCCTGGGCGACAGTCCTTATTGCTGCTGCTCTGCTAGATGAAAAGAGAAGCCAAAATGGGGGCAAGTCTTTGCTTTGTGTGTAAAACAGCTTGTTTACTGTGGTACAAATCCAGCCAGTCCAGCCATCTGGATCTGTGGCCATGCACCTAAAAGGTGGTTGTTTGAATATCTGGGCGTGGTGGTGCGCACCTGTAATTCCAGCGCTGGGGAGGCTGAAAATAGGATGAGTCTGAGCTGGATAGTGAGACTCTGTAACAACTAAATACGTTAAAAAAAAATAGTACTAATAAACGCTGCACGTGGGAGGAAACAATTTTATTGTACTGTATTTGATATTTGCAGAAAATGGAGAAAAAATTGATAGGGGTTTATGTTGTATTTTGAGTCTGGTCTAAATTCAGACAACTCTGTAAACATCTGCTCTTGGATGTAATGCTGAAATTTGCACTTATCAAATCCATAAAAGTGAATCCTGTATGCTTCTTTGTTGGGTCTCCTTTATTCACACAAAGCAGTTTAGGAACTGTTCAGTATTGTTCTGTCACTGCTAATTTGGTAAGCCATACTTTGTTGGTAGCTTATATATCCTGTGTATCTTGCACAGACAGGATTGCTTATTCTTAACCCAAATCAGACATAAACTAGAGCCTCTTGCCCCCTGGGGAAATGATGTTCATCAGACTTTGTATGCAAAGGGACCGGGGAGATAGCTCAGTAGAATAAGCGCTTGCTTGGCAAGCACAAGGGCCTGAGTTCAATCCCCGGTTCCGCCAAAAAGGGTGCCATGACTGAATGTCACAATTTGGCACTGGTGCAGGGAGGCTGCCACATAAACTACCTATGCCAAGGAGGCTTGTGTCGAAGGGAAAAAAGCGCACTCACCTGAGCTCCTTCCACGGGAAGAAACCCTGAAGTCTGGTCTGGGAGGAGTGGGAGGCGGCAAGAATGCATTCCACGCAGTCAGAAAGCCTAGAGTATGAGAACAGTTTGTGGAAAACGCAATACGTAAAGCGCTATTGGAGAGAATTAACAGACCACGGCACACACTTAACTGAAGGCAGTAGAGGGACTGGAGGCTTCCCCACGGGCTGTGCCGGAGGCCTCCAGCAGAGGGCGCGGATCCCACCGCGGTGCCTTCCGGCTTCTACGCGTCAGCACCGAAGCGCTTCCTGGTCGAAGGCGGGGCTTCCGGCGCTGTAGGTCACGGGTGTCTAGGTCCTGGTTGTTCTTTGCACTGGCACGTGTGCATCTCTGCGGTACCCGCCTTTGCGATGTTCCCCCTGTTGCGCCGCCTGCCCCACGCCCTGGGCACCGCTGTCACAGGCCTCCGCGTCACTGCGCGACCCCGCAGCTCAGGCAGCTGCTGCAGCCGGCGCCCCGGCCAAGCCCGCGGCTCTTCGGGCTGCTGTCGGTGAGCGCAGGGTCGCCGCGCCAACCCGGCCTCTTGCAGCCTACCGGGCCATGCGCCTGCGGCTGCGGCCTCGGAGCGCTGCACACCGAAGGTGAGCTTTGCACGGCCCGGGTGTGTGTAGAGAGGAGGACGGGGAGAGAACTCTCCGGAAAAAATCCCAGGGCCCGAGACTTTTGGCAACCGGCAGGTTGAGCCCTCGCGATCGCGTTCCTACTTCTCTCGCATCCACCAAAGATCTTGATTTCGGGGTAGAGAGAGGGGGGTAAAATTAAGGTCCAGGGTGCACCTTTATTCTTAGTCTCTTGAGAATGGATTTTTGGAAAGGCTTTAAGTACGTAGACAAGTGGGAGAAGGTAGTGGGGAATTTTTTTGTCTTTTAGTGAAAAGTGGCAATGGGTTCATTATGTGAAATAACTTGTCCAGAATCGAGTTTAGCTTTTTACTAATATCATATTTTCAAAAAAAAAAGAAACTGAGGCTTTATAATGTGGATTGGATCAAAAGCCCCAGAGTAGCCATATATCAAGAGATTAAAAAACTAAGTCCAGATTTCTAATTGTAGTTAACTTGGGTAATTGTTTTGTTTTAGACTAATTGTCTTTTGTTTCTGAATCATCTGGGGCTTTCTAGGAGACAAAGCTTTTGTTGAATTTCTTACGGATGAAATTAAAGAGGAAAAAAAAATTCAGAAGCATAAGTCCCTTCCCAAGATGTCTGGGGGCTGGGAACTGGAAGTGGATGGGACAGAAGCTAAATTAGTGCGGAAAGTTGCTGGGGAAAAGTAAGTACTAGTCTGGGGTTTCCAGGGGACCAGATCCATGACCCTGTGGGAACTGGCATGGGTTGTATCAAGAAAAGCCTTGGATTATACTCTGCTTGGATATGTTGGGGAAGAGTGGGTTTGTTTTTATCTTTTTGAGACAGGGTCTTGCTATGCAGCTCAGGCTAGCCTTGAGCTCACTTTATACTAGGCTTCCAACTCTGGCCTTGAATTCATGGCAGTCTTCCTGCCTCAGCCCCCCCAGTGGTTACAGGCATGTACCACCATATCTGCTGGAGAAAAAAAAATTTTTTTAATGTATTACTACACAGATCAGACTTGTAGTGATCCTTCCTGTTTTTCAGCCTCTCAAATGCTGGGATTGGGATTGCAACCACACCCAGTCTCAATCCCTGTCTCAGGACACCCCAAGTTCAGGGCCAGCACCTCAGCCCAGTAGACCCCCGGGGATGGAACTCATGGTTCCTGCACCTGCCTAAGCAGGCACTTTAATCCACTGAGCTATCTGGCCAGCCCGAAAAGTTTTTAAAGGGGCTCATGTTCATCCCTGCAGCCTCTCAGTTGCTCCATAGATGGAGGGTTCCCTGAAAAGACCAGAGGTGGCAGTATCAGCTGGCTGTGGCCTGAAGCTAACAAGGGAACACACAGCAGTGAGTTCTGGGACACTGAACTGGTGGACATACCCTAGGTGTAAATGCAACAGACCAGAGCCTATAATTGTATTTTCTGGTGCTGGAGATGGAAGCCAAGGCCTGGTACATACTAGGAAAAGTGCTTTACCGCTGGGCTGTACCTGCAGGAAGAGCTGTTAACTTCCATTAGGTGACACATAGTAGGCTCACTTCATCTTGCTAAGTTCTCAGATTGGATATAGAGAATCAACTTGTGTTGTTGGTTTCCGTTTGAGACCCTCTAACTCTAATTTAGGCTGGCCTTGAGTTCATGGTGATCTTCCTGCCTCAGCCTGCTGAGTGCTGGGATTATAGGTGTGAGCCACCACACCCAGCCTGTTTTGAAGTTGTACAGATAATTCAGATATGCAGATAGCCACCAACGACAGGTTTCAACAAGCTTCTAAACTTACCTATTTATTAATTAAAGGTATGCCTTGCCTATTTTTTCATTTCTCTTTCTAGGATCACTGTCACTTTCAACATTAACAATAGCATCCCGCCAACTCTAGATATTGAGGAGCAGTCCTCAGAGGGGCAAAAGAGTGAAGAACAAGAGGTGAGTGCCTCACTATGTCAAAAGCTCATAATAAATACCAGCTGTTTAAGACTATCATCCTGGGCTTCAGAGACTTTTAACACTTGGCCAAGTGAGATCTTTCCTGAGGTTGGTTACTGTGGTGGTTTTTATGGTGCTTAGTCTTCAAACAAGTTTTAGGAAGTAGTGTACCTGGCCTGGAAAGCAATCGGTCTTGAGGGTCACAGGGTCCTCAGAGCATCTGAGCAGCCATATTTCCCCATTAATGTAAAGAACAGAGCTTTCTGGTACATTTGTCTTGGCTACCCATGCTGGCATTTCCCTGCCTTTGGATTCTGTCTGCTTCCAGAGTCACCATCAGAGGGAGAGCTGCTATTGGTAGGATAGTCACTTAGCCTGGGCCAGGTATGCCAGGCTTTGATCCTTGGTAAAGGGTAAATGCTAGGACTGCCAAGTTGGAAAGAAGTTTTAGAAATGCAGGCCACCTCTCTACAAGTAGACAAGCAGGCTCAGAAAAAAAGGACTGGTCTAGATCTCAGCAAAGCTGGAGCTGGACTTCAGACTTAATACTAAAGACTAAAGCTTAAAAAAAGAAATAAGGGCTGGCCAAATAGCTCAGTGGATGAAAGCGCCTGCAGGCAGATGCAGTGGCCAGTGGTTCGATCCCCAGGCCTGATGTGTGGGCCCCGCCCCCAGGGCGTGCTGAGATGGCACATGAGACTGGGTGTGGCGGCACACCTATAATCCCAGCTCTTGGGAGGCTGTAAACAGGCAGATCACTATGAGTAGGATCTAGTAGTGAGACCCTGAACACCTGCAGACCCCTAAAAAAAAGAAAAATAGGATGCAAACAGAAGACAGATGCTGCTGAACACTTAAAAGATTTTTACTTAGGAACACTAGCATAAGACTATAAAATAGATACTGAAACATCCAAGTAGTGGCCATCACACACACTGACCTATCTGAGACCTTTTCAGATGCAGATCTCTTCCGCACTGGTATATAATAATGACTTCTTGTTTCCCTAGCCTGAACTGACATCAACTCCCAATTTTGTGGTAGAAGTTACCAAGAGTGATGGCAAGAAGGCTCTTGTACTGGACTGTCACTATTCAGAGGACGAGGTATGCAGGAGAGTATCAGTCCTTTGGCACCCCCAGGACAGAGTCTCCTAGGACCTTCCTGGTCCCCTGCAGTAAATACTTACAGACTCTAGCCTGGCAAAACGGGAGGCAGATGGGGCTAGGGGATGGGGGAGATGACAAGGTTACACTTCGTGAATTTCAGGTTGCAAAGCCTTTCCTTGCAGAAGTCTGGCCTGCCTGGAACTCCCTTTAGTTTTCCTAAATTCTGTTTCTTAGATTGGAGAAGAGGAGGCAGCTGAAAATGACATTTTCTCTATCAAGGAAGTTAGCTTTCAGGCCACAGGCGACTCTGAATGGAAGGATACTAATTACACACTTAACACAGATTCCTTGGACTGGGTGAGTGCTGGGTGAGATGGCCTTGCAGGGGAGGCTCTTCCTTTGAGGACAGAAAAGAAACTGTTTGCTTGATTCCTAAGTGTCAGGGATTGTCTTTTTTTGTTAGTAATTGAATGATCTTTGTAGGCCTTATATGACCACCTAATGGACTTCCTGGCCGACCGAGGGGTGGACAACACTTTTGCAGATGAGTTGGTGGAGCTCAGCACAGCCCTGGAACATCAAGAGTACATTACTTTTCTTGAAGACCTCAAAAGCTTTATCAAGAGCCAATAGAGACACTGAAGACCTTAATTTTTATGCGGCCAGAGAGTAAAACCTACCCTGATACCAGACGCCTACACCTAGCAATGGTTATCATCCTAACATCATGGGAAATACATAGCAAATTTAAATTACTGCTGTTGCACTCAAGGATTTTCTTTCTAGTGGGTTTTTTTTTTTTTTTTTATATAACGTAATAATGGACATTATAATTGCTTTATGTCCTCCAAAGTAGTTTGGCTTTTCTATTTCTTCAGTCTGCATCAAAACACCAAGAGTAGAGGTGTTGGAAAAGTTTTAATACAAAATAAGTTACAAATAAAGGTCTGTAAGTACACACCCTCTTCTCAGAGGGGACAAGTTGTTTTCAACCCAGCAGAATGATGAGTTCAGGCTACAGAATCACAGCCCAGGCGTCACAAACCTATATTGAAACAGTAAGCAAATGGTAGTCATGATTTCCAAAGATTATTCTCAATAATGACATTTATAATACAATGAGAATTCCTAAACATTGCATGATGCCACCCAAGTTCAGTTACCATTAGGGACTCAGAACTGTTTTGTCAGAGAAGCCACTGAAAAGCGCCACTCTTGACCTTGCCGTCTGCTGTCCTGCACCTTCACACAGCTGCCTGTGGGTGGCAGGTGGTGCACACCTGGAATCCTAGCACTCTGGGCTGCTGAGGCAAAAGCACTGCAAGTTCAACCCAGCGTGGGCAGTTTAGTGAGACCTTGTCTCAAAAGGGCTAGGGGAGCTCAGAGAGAGAAGACCTGCCTTTGTGGTAATTCCATCAATAGCAATGTAGACTTTAAGTTAAGATCAGGTCCTAAGGTGAACTAGCAGGTAGCCTCAGCCGTGGGAACCAGTGACCAGAAGAATGAAAACATGACTGCTTTTATAGCCCCAGAACAGGTGGTGGAGAGGTAAAACACTACAGGCAAAACCTGAAGGTCCATTAATTCCACAAGACCTTTCTTTTTCCAGTACTGAGGCTCAAAACTCTGGACCTCACACTTGCCAGGCAGGAGCTTATGCTGCTGAGCAGACCTTTATTGATCTATCATGATTAATAGCATCTACACAGGGCTGGGGAGATAGCTCAATGGTCAAAGCGCCTGCCTTGGGGCCAGGGAGAGGGCCCCAAGAATAGTAGAAGAATAAGCACTTATCTGGCAAGCAGAGGGGCTCGAGTTCAATCCTCAGTTCTGTCAAAAAAAAAAACACCTGCCTGACAAGTACAAGGACCCAGGTTCAATCCCTAGTACCACACACTGGTGCTGGGGAGATGGCTCAGTGGAATAAGCGCTTCTCTGGCAAGTGCAAGGGCTTGAGTTCAGTCCCCAGTTCTGGAGGGGGGGGGGATTTTTTTTCCTAGTACCACATGCTGTGCTGGCTCCAGAACCCCATGTGTGCCATGCTGTCCCCTGAGTGGCACATGCCTATAATCCCAGTGCTGGGGAGGCTGAGACAGGCTCACTGCGAGTTGCTGTGTAGTGAGACCCTGTATCAAATTAATAATAAAAATAGCATCTGCACATAAACTGGCACCTGCCTCCTTGCTCAGCTCCCCCTGTGCTTAGAAATCTCGGTCCTAACCTTGACTGTCTATCTGGCTTTCTTTGGAGGACACCAGACCCTACACATAGGTAGCTTAGTACATTTCACCCTGGTGATTTCAGACCACTGTCAAAAATCTCCAGGCATTCCTAGCTCTCATTTCATACCACCTTGTATAACCACATCTACCTTTTATCCCATCCTCCACATCTGTGATAAAGTGTTCTATGACTTAACTGAATCTTATCCCACAAGTTCTTAATCTCCTCAGGTGAAAAAGGCCTAGTGACACACTGGGATTCTAGAATATTACAGCTATCTACTTTTCAAATGTTGAGCTCACAGGCTACTAAATAACACTGTTATTTTTCTCCTCACATTAGTTGTGTCACTTCCATGTATTTGGTACAGGGTCTCACTATGCTGCTCCCACTCCTAGTGATCCTCTTGTTTTCATTCTCCCCAGCACTGGAATTATAGGTGTACACGACCACCCAGTCTCAGTGGCCGGCTGAGTGCACCTGGGGGTAGGGCTGGCACAGCCTACAGTGTTAGGGATCAAACCCAGGTCCCTGCACTTGCCTAAGCAGGTGCTTAGTCTGTTGAGCTATCTTACCAGCCCTACTGTGTCACGTTACCCATGAAAAACTGGCCAATTCTATGTCAGAAGTCAAATTTACTGATACCTGGCATGCTATAGCATTCAGTAATACCAAAGTTCCCCTCACCCAAGATTAGGAAGCTATAACATTTCATACTGATTATAATATATTGATTACTAATAAGATAATGGTTCCTATAGCAAGCTTAAGGCTCCTAAGATAGATGGCTCCCATATACACGTGGGTGGTCCTGTCACACCTTAATTGTCAACTAAGGACAAGAGTGTAACCCTGACCCTAGGCTGCCTCATCCATTTCTCTTTCCAGGAATGACTGTCTTCTAGTTGAAGTAATTTACGGCCTTTACTTTTTAATAAATTCCTCAGAATATATACTGCATTAAACATTTACTTGTTTCTAAGTCATCATTTCCAACATGGTGGCCATAAAATCAACCACTCAACCTACTCCTTCACCTTGACAAAGAAGCTTACCCGACAGGTCATGAGAAGACTGGGCTTTTCTCCTGTTCCATCAGTGACTGAAAACTCAGGAGTATGGGGACAGTGTGCACCGTGATCATTTAAACTGGTCTCTAAACAGGCACGGAGCTTCTGTTCTGTAAACTCTGGAGACTGAAAATAAAAAATTCAACCACAAACTAATCTTAGTTAACTTGAGAATCAACAGGCTGAAAATGCTGATTCTTTGTAGATCAACCAATACAGCTGGCTCACTGTGATGGCTTGATGCCGTGGAGCTTGAAAAACACTCAGGCCCACGACTACTGAGATCTCTTAGTTAGTCTCCATTTAACCACACCTCCAGATTAATCAGTGCTTCCCTTTCCTGTTACACAACATTGCTGCTGCTCACAGCAGGCAGGACGTTCAGAGGCAACAGGCTTCCTTTTAACCTCCCTCAGCTTCTGCCTGAACCAGCCTGCAGCCTTTACCAAGAACCAATAGTGTCTGCTCCCAGATCTCTCCATACTAATTGGATTTATGACTATAATTCTATGATTTAATCACACCTTATGTAAAACACAGCTATAGTACAGGGGAATTAAAGTTTCATTTTTCTGTTAGGCTGAAAATTTAGGAAATATTCAAGAACATGAGTTGGTTTAAAAAAAAAATCTATAGAATTAGATAAAAGATGGAGAGGAAAATTCTAAGGTACATTCAGCTTGTTGATCCACTTCATACAGACATCTAATATCACGATTCATCTACCCATAATTCAACTATGCATTATAGGACCTTTTATTTGCCACTTCAACCTCCTGTTGAGTGAACTGGTAAACCTGCAGTCCTCATGTCAGAAAAGATGACTTGTACTTTCAAGGTCTCTGATGCCTACATCCCTTTTTTTTTTTTTTTTTTCCGGAACCAGGGATTGAACCCAGACCCTTGTGCTTGCCAGGGAAGCGCTTATTCTGAGCCATCTCCCCAGCCCTCCTACATTCTTAATACTGGTTTGTCTTTATAAATACATGTTTTATGGGAGACTGGATACAAGTGCTTCTAAACCTAAGCTGGGATCTCTGAATTCAGAGCCAAAGCAATGGGGGCTCTCAAATGGGGGAAAGCCCTGATCTGTGTTTGCCAACTTCCATGGTGAAATTATTCTCACCATAGTTGATGGGAAGCTATCAACATAAATAACATCATTGAACACAACACTGGAAAAAAAGGAGGCACACAACTGGCTCCAGCCCACCACTGAAGTTCTTCAGATAAGCACATGTGGGAACATTAGCACAAAATCTGTGTGGAACTTACATGAGATGGGATGTGTAGGCCACACTGACATACCACCACATGTCCTATTATTCTCAAGTTGTACCTAGAAGCAGAATTAGGACCCTATATCATCACGGCTCCCCAAACCTTTTCTTTTCTTTTTTTTTTTTTTAATATTTATTTTTATTTATTACATTTATTTATTTATTGTGTGTGTGTGTGGCCAGCTCAGCCCACCAGGGGGCGGGTCTGGTTGGCATGTGGTGCTGGGGATCGAACCGCGGTCCCTGTGCTTTGCCAAGCTTGTTTCAAGTAGGTGCTTTAGACCACTGAGCCATCTCTCCAGCCCCTCTTTTTTCTTTTTTTGTAGAACTGGGGATTGAACTCAGGCCCTTGCACTTGCCAGGCAAGCAGTTATTCTACTGAGCCATCTCCCCGGCCCCCAGCTCAAACCTTTCCAGGCAATAAATTGGTGGGGCATGGTCCACCCACCTTGGAGTGGGGGATGGGAACCGATTATGCTGGGAAAGTGTTGAAAACTCTTACTTTGTACACACAGGACAGATGAGGGAGTTGGCTTCCCACTCAGCTAGCATGATGTTCAGACACTGTTCATCAAACTGCACTCTCCTCTCATACTCGCTAATAATGGACTGTTCTGCAAGGGAAAAAGCAGTGGTAGTTCCTTACCAGCTTCCCCAGAGTTGCCCTGTACTTAATGCCACACCTCCCATTCATAGGCACAAAGGAAAGATTTGGGTAAAAACACTGCCCATCACTGATATTTACTGCTTTCTCAGGCTAGCTTCATCGTGTTAGATCCCTTCATATCCTCTTGCTCCCTTATAAGCAAAAGTGGTGAAGTAGGTTAAGGGGCAAGAAAATAATCTTTACGCATCTTTTGGAGGCTATAGCAACAGAAATGTAGAAACGTCAAAGGCACTGAAGAAAGCTGACACTTAACAGAGGATTTACTTCTATTGCTATTACTATATTTTTTAAGACACAGGTCTTGCTATATTCCTCCAACTCCTGGATCATGCAATCCTCTCACTTTTGCCTCCTGACTAGCTGGGACTACAGACACAAACCTTGTGCCTGGCTTCACCTATTAATACAGATGCAAGGTAGAATAATCATGGGAACTGGAATCACAAAATCAGTTTTGCTCCCTACATCCACCACTTACTAGCTGTGTGATCTGTGTGAGAATGTCACTTTCTGTTGTGTGTCTAGTACTAGCTTGTAGGCTAGTCACAAAGAGAAAACAGAATTATGAAATACATTTTTAGCACAGTCTAGCACCTTTGAGACTCTTATCTTTGGTAAGACAGCCAAAAACTCAAGAGTAAAAATCAGGCTTTTGGAAACATACCTGAAAATGGAAGCAGAATGGGAATTTAGATCTAAACCTGATTCAAAGAAAGCTCAGCACTAGAGTAGTTAAATACAGATGGAAAGAACTACTCCCTAGGATTACCTTCATCAATCAGCTCCTGTTGGATTTCCTCTAGCACAGCCAAGTCAATTGACAGCCTCAACTGCAAGAGAAGAAGAGTCATCTGCAGTTTTAGGTATTAATCTGCCACCAAGCCCTATGATTCAGACTTGGATGGTGGCATGAGGAGTCCACACCAATCTGATAAAACTGTTCCAATCTTGAAAAATATGCTGATGATGAGGTGACGTGGTTATGTGGAGAAGTCAACAACAAAAGATCAAACCACCCAGTGACAAAATACTACCAAATTTGGGAGAGACCAGTGGAAGACAGCAGTTAGCTATATGCTCTTCCAAGGCTATATGACCACAGAAAAGTTCCTAGTCTTTGTAAACCTGTTTTGGCCTCTGCACAGTGGGAATGAAACTTACCTAAGAAGGACATCATGAGTAGTAATTGTGATTGAAATAAGGTAAACATTTATTATACTATAGGACATGTAGATGCCACTAAATAACGCACCTTTCTTACACAGCGCCTTGATGATTTCAAAGCACATACCCAGCTTTTGTTAGTCTTCAAAATGCTGGCATTATCTTCTCCATTTTATAAATATCAGAAAGTTTGGGGGTTTTTTGCTGGTTCAGGCTGCCTTAAAGGTGGGTCTGAAGCGGCATGTGGAGCTGGGGATCAAACCACGGTCCCCTGCACCTGACTGAGTTTGCTAAAGGAGGCAGGCACTGTAAACAACTAAGCTAACCCACAAGCCCCCATTTTATAAACATGAAAGTTAAAGTTCTGAGGCAGTGAAGAAGTCAAAAACAAAACCAGAATTACAATTCTGGAACTCCTGACCTCCAATCTAGTTTTCTTTCTGACACGCCATAAATGGTTCTTGATCGACACCCATCCTACAAAATCTGTTTGAAACTAGAATCAAAATGTTCCTGAAGACTTCTTTTAAAAGAAAAATTCCTAGCCCATGCTTATTGAATCACAATTTCTTAACAGTAAAGAATGAAATTTCCTTTTAAAAAAATTTCATAAAAAAAAATTTCATATCTGATTTGCTACAAGAATGCAACAGGTCTAGTATTGAAGAACCATCAATATAAAGTGTGTAATGTTAATGACAGAAGAGCCTGAGTCAAAGGCTGTTAGATTTCTTTCTGCCTCGGAGCTGGCAGGTAGGCGAGTTTAGAGACATGGGGAAACAGGTACAAAGAGAACTCTAGTTCTTCATGGTGTACTCCTCCCTCACACATACACTCTGAAAACACCTATCTCAGCCTGACCTGAGCCAAGTCCTCTGGACAGTTCTGCGATGCCTGAAAAGAATTCCACTCTTCCTCCATCACCTCTTGCACTAGAAGGTTGTTCAGAGGTCTCTCTGGCATATTGCCTCCTGCCTGGCGGTACTTGTTCAGGATCCTGTCCCGGCTGCTTCTCATTCTTGCCAGACATCTCTTAGGGAAAAAAAGCAGGAAGGGCCCATTAAAAAAAAAAAATAGCTGATACACATTAAAGGCAACTTAAGGCATAAAATTTCAAATATGACCTTAACTACTGTTATTTTTCCATATTCCTCACAAGAGCTTATCCACACATATGGTACACAGCTAAAATCACAATGCTTTGTTCATTTATTTCTATTTTCTATGCTGGCTTCCTCAATAGTTAGGTGCATTCTATCTTAGCATCCACTGCCCATTAGAAGCCATTTATATTGTTTCCAAACTTTTGCTATTCTACATATGGCTGTTGTAATGGCCTTCCTGTACAACACTGCTCCTTACCTCCTGGTGATTTTGTCCACCAGTGGGCATCCAGCAATGTTTGAAGCCATTTTTTTGTTGTCACAACTCTAGTTGTATGGGTGCAGCATCTCGTGGGTAAAGGCCAGTAATGGTGCATCTAAATATCTTACAGTGTACAGAACAACCCTCCACAACAAAGAGTCCTCACTTTCTAAATGTCAAGATCAAGCCGCATGTGTGTCACATCCCTATAATCCAGCACATAGGAAGCTGAGGCAGGAGTGCCATGAGTTCCAGACCTGCCTCAGTTAACAGTTAGTTAAATTCATAGTAAATTCAACACCTGCATGAACTATATACTAAGACCCTCTCTCAAATAAATAAATAAATGTATATCAATATTCAAGGTTTAGAAACTTTGTTGTACTCAGTATAGCTGCAGATTATTTTCCTAGGATGTGTCCACCACTTTAGCGATTCCTGGGGAGACAGGCAGTATTACTAGAAATTACACGGAGTTCAGAAGAGACCAGGACTGAGGGTAGGTACAATTCTGCCAACATTTAGTCACGGAGGCCATTCTGATTCCTCTCCAGATATATGAATAATTTTTTTTTCAAAATTTTATTGATAAACAGATAGCAATGAGACAGTTTCAAATCAAATCAGAAGTACAGTTTCAACAAATAATACACTGCATATATTCTTCTTAGTGGTTAATTGCTGTACAAGATGCGGACTTGAGATCCTATTTACAAACACCATTAGAACAAATCATTCTATTCATTAAGAGAATGCAACTATATTTCTATCCCAACCACTCTGAATACACAGATACAAAATGGACATTCATCGGTATACCCCATTTGTTCTAAGTTCCGTTATGGAATATTATAGGTGTGTAATATGAATAATTTTTATCTCACATGTCATTTATATTGAAACTAGGTAGAGTGAGGTAAGACATAAAATCTCTCTTCCATGTCCAACAGCAGTCGGAGATGTTTTTATAAAGTGCAGAGGGTACGGTCACCATCACACTTCAAATTTGAAACAAACTCGCTGCCAAAAAAACAAGCCACTCGGGACTGCACCCACCCAAGGTAACCCACATGCAGTGACCAAGAAGTTCAGATTCCCCTCCTGTGGCCAGGCTCTTCCTGCACCTGCTACACAGCGCTGGGCGGAGGCGAAGGCTTAGAGGACAATAGTCCTCAAGACGAATTAGGGTAGTGGTCAGTGTTCCAAACCTCACACTCACCTGCCGGAAGGCTTCTTTCCAGGGTGGGGAGCCCATCTGTTTGTACAGTGACCGTCGGGGAGACCTAGCCGACTCGGCCATCTCTTCTCTGAAATCGACCTCAAAGCCCCATCCCAACCTCGGAGCACGCACAGAACCCTGGGAGTTGTAGTTTTTGGCGCGGATCTCCGATTGCGAGGGAAATCAAGGATGAGTGACTGAAGTAGTGACATTTGTGAAGTTAACTGAAATTGGGTAGAGTGAGGTAAGTCTTGATGGAATGTCCTGGACGATAGTTTTTATCCAGCGGAAAGTGTCCAATAGGCTAATAGATACGCAGGTCTCAGTCTCTCCGCCCTGGTGCAGTACTAGACTTCTCGCAGCAACGATATCTTTGAACGTGCCTTGGTCTAGTAACCACTTGGTCCCGCCCCACATGGCCTATACTGGGCTATTGATTGGCTTTCCTGTGGCAATGCCCTTACCCGATGGGCTGATTTCCTTTCGCCCCGCCTTCACTGCTAGCCTCGTGCTTCCGGGATGCCTACTCGATGATTGGCCGACGCAGTAGGCGGCTGGCCGTGGATTGGCTACGTTCAGCGGCGGGCTGAGCAATTGGAATGAGGAGTGCGGTTGGGCCAAGATGGCGGCTGCAGAGGGTTCCTTAAGTGATGGTGATCTTTGGCAGACCTGGCTTCCTAACCATGTCGTATTTTCTCGGCTCCGGGAGGGGCTAAAACACCAGCGCCCTGCAGAAATTGAGAAACCGGCTTCCTCGTCGTTGTCCTCGTCGCCTCCTTTGCCGCCGCAGCTGCTTACGAGAAACCTGGTTTTCGGCCTCGGCGGAGAGCTCTTCCTGTGGGATGGAGAAAGCAGCTGCTTTTTAGTGGTTCGCCTTCGGGGCCTCAGCAGTGGCGGCGAGGAGTCCTCCCTCTCCCAGTACCAGGTACCGCCAGGGCATCTCGAAAGTGACCCGCAGCTGGGATCCGAACTCGTCCCCGGCCCCCCCGCCCCCCGGCCCACCCGCCGGCTATTTTTCACTTTCTGGTGGATTCGCTAGGCAGTCGCAAGTAGACGTCCTTTCGGAGACGTCAATTACGAAGAAGAAAATCCGCCTTTCCTCATATTCCTGACACTGCTACTTAATAGAAAGGAGCTCGTGCTGTTGAGCTGTTTGTGTTCCTAGGGTCTGGGAGGAACGGGAGGACCATGGATACCCAGTAGAATACTAGTGTTTAAGTGCTCTGAAGAAAGCAGTAGGGTAAAAAGAACAGAGAACTTGGTGCAGTTGCAATTTGTGGCGAGTTGTCAAGAGAAACCTATTTTTTGATGTAACAATATAAGCATAACTTTCTCTTGGGTTGTTAGCATTAAGTCAAGAGGCAGATTTGAAAGCACCAAGTTACGTGCCTGACAGAAAGGAGGAAGCTTTGGTTGACTTCTTCCCCTTTTAGAAAGTTTAGCCATCCCCAAAGTTGTTTTTTATAAGCCAGTGTGTGATTAGAAAGTATTATAGACTCACTAAAATGAACATTGCCTTATGGAAGTATTTATCTGTAGTAAATTATTTTTTGAAGTTTAAAAAAAACGTGGTAATCATTTGAATGTATGACATTTGTTTGTTGTGTACCACAGACCAGTTCTTATAGAAAAGTGATTTGATTGTAACAAAATGCTAATGTACTAGAAGAATATACAATCTACTTATTGAAAATTTTTAGCTAAGAATACTCATCGGTTGTTCAGCTGACAGTATTCCTTTCTTTTCTGTTTTTTGAAGCTGTGTTCCAAAGGTAGCCTCAAAGACTCAAGCAATCCTTCAGCCTCCTTAGTATTCCACTACAAGTGTGCTGAGCTGGGGATACAGCACAGTGGCATGAATGCCTGCCTGGCATGCACAAGCTCCAGAGTTTGATCCAAAAAAAATCCACTACAAGTGTTCCTTGGCATGCCTAGTCCTAACATACAGTATTGTAACAGCATTCTACGTTGCTGTGCAGCATTTGGCAGTAAGAATTTAGTAATTTTAAATTATTTATTTATTTATTGTCTAACTTTTTTAGCTAGACTAAGTCTTTTCTTTTTTCTTTTTTTTCTTTCTTTTTTTTTTAGGAATCAAACTCACAACCTTAGGTGTCCTTCTGAGCTATATTCCCAGTTAGACCATCAGTCATAAATTGAGGATCTTATCCGTTTTTGTATGTTTAGCACTTGACAGCCGGCCTGGAATATTCACACTCTCAGTAAATATTAGTTACCATCTTAACTTTTTTTTTTTTTTTTTTTTTTTTTTTGTGGAACCAGAGATTGAACTCAGGACTTTGCCCTTGCCAGGGAAGTGCTTATTCTACTGAGCCATCTCCCCAGCCCCTCCATCTTAACTTTTAATCATCCAGAATCTCAGAAGTTTGGAGATTGGAAAGAAACCACTATCATGGATTGTAATCCTGAATGCTAAAAAGAATGATAGTGACTTTTTTTTTTAGTTTAGTTTTTTGTTTTTGTTTTTGGCCAGGGTCTCACTATGCAGCTCCAGCTTGTAATGATCCTCCTGTTTTCAGCCTTCCCAGCGCTGGAATTATAGGCATGCATCACCATGCCTGGATTCAGTCACTGGCTTAGTGCTCAGCATGTGATGCCAGAGATTGAACCCCGGCCCCTTGCCTAAGCACATGCTTAGTCCGCTGAGCTATCTCGCTGGCCCTTATGATAGTGACTTTAACAACAAAAGTCTTAATACTGTGATTATTAAAAATGAACTAGTTTTATTGTATATGTAAGGGGAGCGAGGTTTCAGAAGAATCCTCTAGTTTAAGTTAGGCCTTCAAAATCAAGTAGAAAGAAGGTGGGAAATTGAGTATAGGAAATAGAAGGAAAGAATCACAAGAGAAAAAAGTTTGATTAGAATCAGCAAAGGGAACTAAAAGACACACAGGGTAGAAGACATCAGTAGCAGTTAGAAAACTCATATTCAAGACACTGACATAAAAGGATTTTGGCTCAGGATAATCAATATGTTAGATAAGCAGTACATTATTGGAAGTAGAAAAGGATCTGAGATGGTCGTAGGCAAAGAAATAGGAAGTTTGAATAGAGAAAGTTTTTTTGAGGATATAATGCCGACACATACAGCTTATATTGTCTGCATAGATAAAGCAGCATTCTGCTTGCAGTGAAAGCTCTTTTTTTTTATTATTTATTTATTTATTTATTTATTTTTAACATTTATTTTGTGTGTGTGTGTGTGTGTGTGTGTGTGTGTAGCCAGCTGAGCCCACCAGGCGGCTGGGGCTGGCTGGCATGTGGTGCTGGGGGATTGAACTGCAGTCCCTGTGCTTTGCTTTGTCAAGCTTGTTCCAAGTAGGTGCTTTAGACCACTGAGCCATCTCTCCAGCCCCAGTGAAAGCTCTTAAAGCCATTTTTTTTTTCTTTCCTTTTTTTTTTTTTGGCAGAACCAGAGATTGAACTCAGACCCTTGCGCTTGCCAGGGAAGTGCTTATTCTACTGAGCCATCTCCCCAGCTCCCAAGCCATTTCTGTGTTTATAAAACTTACCATTTACTAATATTTTGAGTTCACTTCTCTGTTCACTAAGCATCTGTTGGGAGTCAGTAATATGTCAGGTACTATCAAGTTTTAGATCGTGAGTTCTGTGAGGTGGACAAGTAAAATGACAAAATGCAGTGTAACAACTATGATGGAATTATCCAGAATGTGCTGCAGAACTCCAAGAAGACACATTTATCCCTGGCCACAGGTGGGGGATATTTAGGGAGGGGAAGTTCATGTTGACTGTCTCCCAAGAATGTTTAGCTGGTTAGACAAAGTAGAAAGAAAAAGAAAAAAAAGTGAGAGCACCTCAGGAAGAGGAAGTTTTGCAAGGACATAGAGGCATGGAAAAACAATCATAATTTTCAAAAAATACAACTTAATCTAATAAGTGTAAAATATGAGTGGAGCATAGTAGACTGGAGTGATAGACAGGAAATGAAATTAGATATAGTAATCTTTAAAGTAGGAAAATTTGATGGGTTTTACATAACACTTCAATCTAAAATGGCTAAAAATATATCACCAGTTGATGATCCAAGTGTCGATACTTATCCATATGCTTTGTTATTCTGTAATTAGAGAAAGCCACAGCATTACTGTGGTTTCAAGTAACTGCCACATGTATTTATAATTAATTATTGTGACCAATTTGCTTTTATTTTTAGAGATTGCTTTGCATAAACCCACCTCTGTTTGAAATTTATCAAGTTTTGTTAAGTCCGACACAACATCATGTAGCACTTATAGGAACTAAAGGACTTATGGTATTAGAATTACCCAAAAGGTGGGGGAAGAATTCTGAATTTGAAGGTGGAAAAGTAACAGTGAATTGTAGGTAAGTTGTACTTCCATTTCATGTATATCTGTATAATTTGCAATATATACAAAACTTTTTCAAGACCAGGGTTACTTAAAATGTACTATTGAAACACTACAGCCTTCCTTGTGCAGGCTAGTCTCTTACAGTATTAATGCTTATAGTGTATGTGTGAAAAAATGTGTGTGTGTATATATTATTTATTTTTGATTTTTTTTGAGACAGGGTCTCACTGTACAGCTCAGGCTGGCCTTGATCTCACTTTGTACCCCAGGCTGGTCTCAAACTTGCAACGGTCCTCTTGCCTCAGCCTCCCGAGTGCAGGGATTACACACGTGTGACACCATGCCCAGCTTTTATGATTATATTTATCATTCCTGAATTATTATATTGTTGTCTCATTGGAAGTTAAGCTTTTCATTCAATCTGGTAGAAATAACATGTTTTTGAAAGCAGTTATTAAAAAAATAATAATTATCGTTTAAGAGCCAGATATTTGTTTAAAAGTTTATTGAGTCTGTTGTTTGGTTGAGGTTTGTTTTTGTTTTTGTTTTTCTCAGGCAAAGTTTCACTATACAGTTCAGGCTGGCCTTGAACTCACTTTGTAGCCCAACTGGTCTTGAACTCACATCAGTCCTCCTACTGTTTTCTTCCGAGTACTAATAATATACGTGTGTATCTAGAGGTTTTGTTTTTATGTATTTTCTTTTTTAACAAATCCAGAAAAGTGAGGATCTGAAAAGTTCATAAAAGAATATAAAATGAAAACATACATTTAGGGGCTGGGGAGATAGCTCAGTAGAATAAGTGCTTGCCTGGCAAGTACAAGGGCCTCAGTTCAATCCCTGGTTCTGCAAAAGAAAAGAAACGAAAGAAGAAAACATACATTTAGTTCTACAACATATAAGGAGAGCCCACTTGAACTGTTTAATATTTTGTAGATCTGTTTCTTATGTTCTTGTTTATTTTCTTTTATTTTTAGAGACAGTGTAGTTCAGGCTGGCCTCAAACTCATGGCGTCCTCCTGTCTCAGCTTCCCACGTGCTGGGATTACAGGCATGCACCATCAGCCTCCCTTACTTTTCAAAGTAACAGTAATAGTATCTTTTCTTACAGTTTTCTTGCCGGTTTAGCTTTAATGAAAGGATAAAAAAAAAAGATTTTTAAAACACTAAGCACTACAAAATGTTACAATTTAGACAGTATTTTCATGTTGATTCTGATATTAATTAAATAGGTGTTTTGAATGCTCTTTTAGCAAGATTGAGAGAAATTTGAAGGAAAGAAAAACACTGAATATTAAAATAGGTTTTCCTTTATTTTTCTTATTTAAGTTCTACATAATGTTTTGGAAAATTGTTATCTTTATTTTAGCACCACTCCAATTGCTGAGAGATTTTTCACGAGTTCTACGTCTCTGACTCTAAAGCATGCTGCATGGTATCCAAGTGAAATGCTAGATCCTCACATAGTGCTGTTAACATCAGACAATGTAATAAGGTAAATATTACTTTTACTTCTCACATGTTTGTGAGTAGGAAAGCTGTTTGTGTTGGCTGATTAGTAGCTCGAGTTAGTACCAAATGAGTCCTTGCATGTCGGAATATTTTCATGTAATGGCTGTTATAAACCATTCTCAATCATAAGAAGTGCCTGAGTGCCCTAACCCACATCCAGTAATTATTGATCTTCCTTTTCAACTAGTTGTCTGCCTCTACCCTCTCCTTTCCTAGTCTGACCTGTAAATAATGTTAGAATGATCTTCTCCCAGCTCTTCATCATGTCACCCTTGGGTGATAATGTAGCGTAGAGGGATGAGAATATAATTGAAAATTGAAAGATTTGAATTCTTACTTAGAAACCAGTTTTATTATCTTTGAGATTTTTAACTTCCTTTGGTGAATAGATGGGTTCAGTTTCCAGTCTGTAAAAAGTTCCTGTTTAAATTAATTATTTCTAAATTCCCTTTCAAGATTTGTTTT